GCATAACAGCCTAAGTTGTATGGTAATAACAATAAGCTTGTCTTCTGGATGGTTAACAACCTAAGTTTGCAGACCAAAATTAGAGAAAAAGGAGGGCCACAAGGAAAGCCAACGTTTTGGCCTTAGCCTTCCAAGGTCAATTAAGACTCAAGACATATGAGAACTTGTACTGTAATGTCATGTAACTCAGTAGTGTCCTACATTTTCTGATCAAGGAGATTATGGGGCCAAAGAGGAAAGTGATCAATGATGTAGAGTGTGAATAAGGAGAGTCACATGGAGAGAAAACATTCTCTCAGTCCTCTACAGTGTGCACACTGGCCAAGCAATGGCCGTGACTCATCCATATGACTGACACTGACAAAAGTTCTACAATCTGTGGTACAGGATCTCAGGATAAATCCTGAGGGGATTTCACTGACCTTATCAGACCCAAAAGCTACAACTCTTGCTGCATATGTCCTGCTTTACCTTGGTCTTCACCATCCAGTAGAAAAGTATAAAAATGAAATATAAGAAGTAAAGCCATGCTGTTATGTTGAGCTGTAGGGGACTCAGGTCAACAATTTCTGACATTGCCAGTCAAGTGGAAGACCCAATACTATTATGGGCTACTGAACTCTTTTAGAATATTTTGCTGAGTTTACACACCTATAATATTCAAAGAACGGATCTTAACAAAAAAAAAAAAAAAAAAAAAAAACGTATACAGGTGAATGTCCATTTTCTATCTGTGTATTCAAAGCACTTAGGATAGATATATAGTTACCTTCTCTTAATGAATAGAGCGATTTGTTCTAATAGTGTTTGTAAATAGGATATTATGTCTGCATCACCTACAGCAAATAACCTCTAGGAAGACAGTATGCAATGTGTTAATCTTTGAAACTGTCCTATCAATTTGATTTGAAACTATCTCATTGCTATTTGTTTATCAATAAAATTATGGGAAAAAAGAAACTCTCTCATTGCTATTTCGTTCTCAATAAAATTAATTTTAAAAAAGAAAAAAAAAGGAGCTTTGTTCTTAGCCTCTCTTATTACATGGCAAGTAAGGGACTCTCCCTCTTGGGAGTTGTTATAACTTGACTAGCTATTTTAGGCTCTGAGTCCCCTGGTTCTGCCACTGGCCCTTTCCCTTGCTTACCTGTGTATTCTTGGATAAACTTTCCTTGGTCTCATTGTTTTGTCAGGATATCTGTGAGAATTATAGCAGAACCTAATATTCAAGCCCAACTTAGCAAAGAATGGTTTACATGTGTGTGCATGTTAATGCATTAATATGATGAGAAAATAATACATATTCATATATGGGTATGTGAATGTCCAGGTATGAATATATGTTTTAGATATGTGTATGCTTTATACTAAGTGAATCTTTTATGATATAGCCCCTTCTCCAGTTTGTCTTTTCTGTACACAGCTGGAAAATGAAAGGAGTAAATTGTGGTTTTGGCTTCAGGCAGCCGAGCTGCTTTCAGTTCTGCTTCTCTGTATTGTTCTCTCTAGCAGGGGTTAACTCGTTTTTTTAGTTCTATTTTTAATAACTTTATTGAGAAACAAATAGTAGTGAGACAGTTTCAAAACCGATTAGTAGCACAGTTTCAATAATTAATACATTGCATATTGTTGTCTTAGTGGTTATTCATTGTACAGGATGTACTATATCCTGTCTACAAACACTATTAGAAAAAGTCTTTCTATTCATTTAATGAAGAGAAAGTAGCTGTATATCTGTCCTAACTATTTTGAATATACAGATACAAAATGCTCATTCATTTGTATCCCCTTTTTTGTTTAGTTTTGTCAGAGATGGGTATTCCATTGTCATTTAAATATTATAGGTGTATGAATTCAGCAAAATATTCCAATATAGTCCAGTAGTCTATAATAGTAGTGGGTTTTCCATATAACTAGCAATGTCAGAAGTTGTTGACTTGAGCCTTTTACAGCTCAGCATATCAATATGGCTTTAATTTTTATACTTCGTTTTTATACTTTTCTGCTGGATGGGTAAGACCAAGATAAAGCAAGACCTGTATAACAAAAAACGTAACTCTTATATCTGCCAAGGTCAGTTAAATTCCCTCAGGATTTACCCTGAAACCCTGTGCCGCAGTTTGTAGATCTTCTGTCAGTGTCAGCCATGTGGATGAGTCACGGCCATTGCTCGACCAATTTGTTCTCTGTGACAGCCTGAGAGAATGTTTTCTCTCCATGTGATTCTCCTTAGCACACTCTACATCACTGATCACTTTCCTCTGTGGCCCAATAATCTCTTGATTAGAAAATTTGGGACACAACTGAGTTCCATGATGTTACAGTACAGGTTCCTCTATGTCCTGAGTCTTCATTGCAGAAACCTTACAAAGGCCCTTACCTTTCCTTGCTCCAGTTTTCTACAAGGAAGGCAAAATTACAGTCTGTTTTCTGAAGCTGCCACACCTGGCAAACACATGTTTGTCATTCTTCCTGGCCAGGTGCAGGGCTGGGCCAGTGGAGTTAGGGGTGTGAGTAGGTGGCAAGGGGCTGCTGCTCAAGGTCCCCATGCTTGGGAAGAGCAGGTTTTTCTACCGTGGTGTGGAAGTAGACCCTGCCTCAAAATAAAAAATCAGCCAGTCTGAATTCCCCCTCATCAGTGTGTATTCCCTTCAGCTGCTCAAGTTGGAATCCTTTCCTATTTTTCTTACTCTCATGTGGGACAGGCTGACCTGGTCTTTGTCAGCAACTCCATCTAAAATCTCTCAGCAGTTTCTCTTACTTTCTTTTTTTTTCTTTTTTTAAATTTATTTATTTATTTATTTATTTGAGAGAGAGAGAGAGAGAGAGAGAGAGAGAGAGAGAGAGAGAGGTGTGTGTGTGGCCAGCTCAGCCCACCAGGGGGCGGGCTGGCTGGCATGTGGTGCTGGGGGATTGAACCGTGGTCCCTGTGCTTCGCTGAACTTGTTCTAAGTAGGTGCTTTAGACCACTGAGCCATCTCTCCAGCCCTTCTCTTACTTTCTAATTGCAGTTTATCCCATACACTAAGTCCCTGACTTACAAACAAATTCTTTTCCAGGATAACATTCTGAAGTCGGATTTCTTCCTAGTCTGACACAGTGAATCTTATACACCTTTGACACAAATATACGATATAAAGTATAAACTAACACAAACAAAAAATACAGTAAGCTGTTTTTCCTTTTAAGCACAGTAAGCACACAGCAGCACAGCTGTGACAATGTTTGGCAGACCTGAGAGCTGCTTCTGCAATCTGTTTGCATCTACAAGTGTTCATTATTCCAAGTCCTTTCTCAACTGAAAAGTTCACAACTCAAGTGTCTGTAAGTCGGGCACTTACTACAAATAAATAGACAATTAAAAATGAGAAAGAAGAAGTAGGGTGTAGCACAGGGTGAAGGTTGTGGTTTCAATTCCAGGACCACGCCTCCAAATTAAGTCAACTGGTGCATTATGTAAGAAGCAGAAGTGGGGGTGGGGGAGTTTGGAAGCAGAAGGGAAAATAACTTTAGGGTTTGTCCTTTTAATCTAAGAATTTAATTTTATTTGCCATTTTCATGACCCCTGAATGAGCTCTGTCTCAGTTCTTCAGTTTTCTCATCTACGTAAAATGCACATTAAAGTTCAACCCTGAGGGTACTTTTGTAGGCTTTGCCAATTACTGATTAGTTTGTCACTGATACCCATTGTGTGTGAGGTTCTTAATCTATAAGATGGTGATATAAAAAAATTATTCCTCAGAGGGTCATTTTAAGAGTTGATCATAGTAATTGCTTTTAAACTGTTGGTCCCAATCTAAAGTCTATCACTGATCTATGCTATCCCCATAGTTTGTGTCTAATGTGTGGAAGAGGACTCATTCCTCATATCTACTATATTAGTCTCTTTTCTATGACTGAGACCAAATACCTGACACTCAAACTTTAAAGGAGGAGAGTTTTGTTTGGCTTATAGTTTTGGTGGGTTCAGTCCATGGTAGGCCATCCCCAAGGCAGAGAGGGCATGTTGGTACAGTCTAGTGGAAGAAATCTGCTCACATCATTACAGTGAGGAAGCAGAGAGAGAAGGCAGGACCTGGAGATGAAAACACACCCTTTTAGCTTATGACCCCCCACACATGACCTACCCTTTCCAACTAAGCCCTACTTTGGTGGACATTGTGGATCTAAGACATAACACTTGTTCCTTAGAATGCTCAATGGGCCACTTCTGGAAGTTTGTTCAACAGTCACTTTTAACTGTCTTCCACTTGGAGCCATAAACACTGATAACTGTTTGAAAGTCATGCTTTTTGGGGTGAGCCAAGATTGTGATAAAAGAAAAACTTTTCATGGAAGTCAAATCCTGCTACAATTCTTGCTAGTTTGCAATGAGTATCATGAGTTAGCTTGGATGCAGCACAGGGATCCCTGTCATTTACCCTTTTCCTGTCCACTTGGACAGACTGAAATGCAAGTGAATAAATAAGAAGCTGATTTGAGGATGACTTTGAATCTACTCCAGAATATCACAAAATACAAAAGCAAATCATTCCAAAATGTCTAAGATATTGCTATCATTAGAAATGTGTTATTCATCTCCTCCTGTCCTAATGCATTCCTACAAAATTCTGTCTCCAGGTCAAGCAGTCTGTCTTTATCAGTGTCACCTCAGCTGTCTCTAGAGCAATCTGATAGTCTTATGCAAGGCTGAGACTGTCACATCCTCTCTTTCACCTTTTGGGATCCTGTCTAGGATGGAGCAGGGCTTTCTGGGCTGCCTCAGAGTGTGGTCTTTTCAGCCAGAAGTCTCTGGGAATGGAGTAGGATCATCTGCAGTCACCCCTTAAGACAAGAGGGTTCTTGTCTCAGTGTTTTCATATGAGTGAGGTTCAGAAGGCCTTCCCAGCGACTGCTCATGTTGGACCTCAAGGGTTTCTCAGGATCTTCCCATGACCTAAAGGAAGGGATAATTGGTGGCAAGGGCAGGGACTCGGGCTAATGGTTTTCTGTGTCCACAGTGCTAGCAGCCTCTGAAGCCATCCAGGAGCTCATTGGGGCCGTCGGTGGATCTGTGACCTTCTCTGTGAATTTCACAGTACAGCAAGTTGACAGTATTGACTGGACTTTCAACAAAACCCGTCTTGTCACTGTAGAGCCAGCTACAGGAGACAAACAGGCCACTTTCATAGCAGCACAGAAACGGAACAAGCCCAGGATAGCTTTCCAAGATGGAGGCTACTCTCTGACGTTCAGCCAGCTGAAGAAGAGTGACTCAGGCATCTACTCTGTGGAAGTACACCGTCCAGACTCCCAGGAGGACCTCATCCAGAAGTATAGGCTGCATGTCTATGGTGAGCGGAATCAATCCTCATGGTCCTTCTATGTGAGCAGAGTCAGCACACATGGTGGGTGGCTACCCTGGTGAGGGGATGGTCTCCCTGACACACCAGATGTTCAAACACAGCCTGGATAAACACTGGGCAATAATGTGGGAGAGGGGACTCTTGCATGAATGCAGTAGATGTAGCTGACCTCCAAGGTCCATGCCTACTCAGATTCTGTCATCGTCTGCATGGTGTATTAAATGGGCAACATAGAAAGTGGCAGTCACACAGATCTAAGTAAAATTCTGACTTTTGTACTTACTATGTGTGGGCCTTAGCCAAGCTACTTATTCCCTTTGAGGCTTAGTTTTCATATCTGTGTTGGGGAGGAAAATGATAACTACCTTAGGAAGCCAATGGGACATAAACATCAGTCACCATTTTCCCCTACAGATCTGATCATTGTTACCATGATCACTGTTTTTGCTGTATTGTTATATGGACAAGGATACTTGGATAGGAATGCAAATTCTGCTCTGAATTACATCTTCCTTTTCATTCTGGAGCTTCTCAAGGAGATTCAGGTCTAGAATATCTCAGGTATTCAAAGAAAGGAGAACTATATGAATATTTTCCATTCTTGGCTGTACTTTCTTTTCACAGAATTCCTATCAAAGCCCAGAGTTACCACGAGTCTACAAAGCCATAAGAATGGCACCTGTATAACCAACCTGACATGTTCTGTGGAAGAGGGAGGAGAGGATGTGACTTACAGCTGGAAGGCCTTGGATCAGGCAGCCAATGAGTCTTATGATGGCTCCATCCTCCCGATCTCCTGGACCCTCGGGGGACACAACACGACCTTCATCTGCATGGCCAGGAACCCTGTCAGCAGCAACTCTTCAAGCCCCATCCTTGCCCAGATGCTCTGTCGAGGTGACTGTCCCCTCTTTCCAGGAGCTCTAGTCCATGTAAATATACCTTCTTCAGCTCCTAAGTCCCAAGAAAATAGGCTCTGGGGTCTGGGAAGTCTCCATGCTGGGAGGAAAGTGGCAGGTGCCCCAAAAATTGGATCACTTTTCCTAATTGACTCTTCTTCCTTCCTCACACTTCTATCTATTCTTCTTTCCTTAAGGTGCTGCTGAAGACTCAGGTCCTGCCCTGAGTCTCCTGTTGGTGTTCATCCTGTTAAGCCCCCTTGTATTCGTGACATTTGGGTTGATTATATGGACAACTAGAAGAAAAGGTAGAGCTGGTGTGATTTTTTGCTATCGTTCTCACCATCACTTATGCGTTTTCTCCCTCATGGATTCCACCACATGTGGTGAGCCCATGTAAAGCTTGGCACTGAGTATACAGATGGAGAGGTCATAATATGGGATGCAAGGGGGAGACCTGACATTGAAAACACTGAAAGCTCGTATGACCTCCCCTGCTTCCCACTCTGCTCCCATTGGTTCTGAGATCAGGAATGAAGAGGGCCTACTTCATCCTGCTTTTGTCTAGGATTTTCCCCAGGCTTAACACTGAAAGTTCCCTGAAACTCTTCAGTTGCAGGGCAGCAACCTGCAGTGGGCTGTCCATGTGAGATGGGTGATAGGCAAGTAAGGGTGGTGAGTGGGGGAACGGACAGGCTTTGATTCTCCCTCTACTTGATTTCAGAGCCCATTAAAAGCAAGCGTGAACTGGACACCCACCAAGAAGTGCCTAGCTTTTACCCCAATTCTGCAGAAAACACAGAGTATGACACAATCCCCCACATTCAGGTGAGTGCTTCCTGATCTTTCTTAGGACCTGATCCATCTTTTGGAGGCTCTCTTTGTTTTATGTGAGATTTTTCTGTGGTGTGGGTAACACTGAAATTGGGACGGAAATTAGACTACAGAGCTTTGAAAACCCAGTGGACCTAAATCCCCCAAGTCTTTAAGGCTTCACCTCCTTGCAGAAATTGGCAGCCTCTGAAGCTCTCAGTTCTGACCCAGTTAATAGCACTCCTGCTGTGAACGTGACTCACCTCTTCCCTCCTGCAGTTCATGGTTGCCTCTCTAAATTCATATAAACATAACAGTAAAAATAATGCAGCAAACACAGAAAAAAATCAATAAACATGAATACAAATAATTCCCTGACTTCCTAAAATAATTTATTAATTATTATTGGAGTTGGGGAAATGGCTCAGTAGAATAAGCGCTTCCCTAGCAAGTGCAAGGGCCTGAGTTCAATCCCCAGTTCTGCCAATAATAATAATAATACAATAAAATAAAGACCAAGTGTGGTGGCACAGCCCTGTCCTCCCAGCACTTGAGAGGCTGAGGCATCAGGATAACATGTTTGAGACCACAAGGAAAGCATAATGAGTTCAAGGCCTTCCTGCAATTCTAAATAAAATTGAGGCTTAAAGCCGTATCTGTGACCAAAAGAGAAATAAATATGTATATGAAAATAGATGGTTAAGTTTTGAAAAGTTGTTACTAGCATCATAAAATCTTTGAATTTAAGCAAGCATTATTTTTATCATGAATACTGCATTGGGAACACAATATTACAAAAAGAATGAGTGGTGCGCACGCATGTCA